ATTACAAAAAGGGTCCCAGCCAAAAGATCAGCAGCATAGATTTAAATCACCTTGGACTATGTAGCCACATACAGGTTTACCAGAAGTCATCCAGAAGACAGAAAACCCAGTCCTTGCCACCTTGAATAAGAAATTAAATCAATTCTATGTTATTAGCACTTTTGTAACTGGATATGATAGGTTACTAATACATTTTGTAATGATTAGATTTATAAATATAGTGTCTGATGTTTAAGTTATTCAGAGTTTTCCAAAAGAATCAACCATATACAAGTTATAATTAAATCTTATGTTTGTTAAGGAAATTTAATTAATCAAATTTATAATCTAGGTTTAGATACATAGGAAAACTAGTTTTCACAGTTTTGTTTATTAGAGTCAATACAATACATTGAGCATTAAACAACTAAGTTTGACTATTTCTTCCCAAAAGTCCCTCAGATATTGATTCTTAAAAGTTCTGAGCAGTAAATTAAAAGACATCAAAGGCTAGCTTTTATATTATGTATTTTTATATTTTCCAATTATGGAGAAATTTTACTTAAAACACTACTATTTGAGTAAAATATTATATATTACAATTGTTTTGTCTTTATAGCTTTTTTTTTTAACTGAACTAAATCCATTACATCCTCAATAGATCTTTGAGGCCAAATGAAATAATTCTATTCCATCTAGTTAGAATTTAGTCCTATAACTAGAATATACTAAAAATATTTAATGTGGTTATCTTTGAGTAGTAAGATTATATGTGATTTTAGTTTTCTGTATTTTTTTCCCCAGGTTGTCTTCAAATTCTTTTTCCTGATTACTTCTATAATCAGGGGGAAAAATAATTTAGTCTTGAGAATCTTTTGCAGATATTCTTATAACTCGTTTTTTTGTTATTATTTTGTTTTATTTAGGGGAAAATGGCTCTACTGGCCTCAAATAGCTGCTTTATTAGATGCAATGAAGCAGGTGATACAGAAGCAAAAAGTAAAACAGCAGGAGAAGAAGAAATGATAAAGGTAATCATGACATTTTTCTATGGAATAATACATGGCACATATGATGTGACTACATCTCTTAAATGTTGCATCACTTATTATCACTTTAAAGGTTTAAATTCATAGCTTTTTATACTGTCTCCAAATAAACTTTAATTATAAATCCCGTAACTGACTGTTTGCACCATGTGGTAGAGAAATACATCTAAGAGCTACCTTGTTATTCTCTCCATTTATTAGTGTCTTTTTCTGAGTAGTTAGTTCCACATGCTTCTTAGGCCTGTGTCTTCTTTCTTTCTTGCCTGCCTTTTAAGTTATAATTTTTTAAATAAATGATCTGTTCACATGGTTCAAAATTGTTTAAATACAAGCATGTAAAGCATGTCTCCCATCTTTCTGTAGCCTTCTTGAGTTCCTATATAAAAAATGAGTTTTTGTAATTTTCTACTCTCCTGAAGTTAGCCTGCTGTACATACTCTTTTAGACCTTGATATTTTTTCCTTTACATTGTATGCTAGAGATTTTTTGTTATCATTATTTAGAAAGTTTTCTCTCTTTTTAATAGCTATATAAGACTCCATTTTAGGTGTGCTCCATAATTTAATCAGTTCCTTATAAATCGAAATTTAGATGATTTCAGTCTCTTATCCTTATAAGCAGTGCTGCAGGACTTAACTTTGAATACACCTCATTTTGTAGGTGTGCAAGTATATGTGAGGATAAACTTCCAGAGGCAGGATTACAGGGTCAAGGGTACATGCATTTGTAATTGTTAGATACTGCCAAATTGTCCTCCCTAGGAGTTATACTAATTTAAACTCCCACTGGCATGTATGAGAAGGTTATGAGTTTAATACTTGAGCATCCATGTTGCTAGTCACTATATAAAATATATAAACGTCATAGCAGAACTTTCAGAGCCTTAGCCCTCAAATTCTGGATCTCTTAATGAATAAGTAAGTCTTCCTTACATGAACAGAAACACAAAGCACCTAAAACGTGTGTGTGTGTTTTAATTTTTTTTAACATTTTTTATTGTGTTATAGTCATTTTACAATGTTGTGTCAAATTCCAGTGTAGAGCACAATTTTTCAATTATACATGAACATACCATATGTTCATTGTCACATTTTTTTTTTCTCTGTGAGCTACCACAAGATCTTGTATATCTTCCCCTGTGCTATACAGTATAATCTTGTTTTATCTGTTCTGCATATGTCTGTCAGTATCTACAAATAAACTAGAAATTTCTTTCTCCCAGACTTAACTTCCCTAATCCTTTTCTTTTATTTCATTGTAAAGAGTTGTACAGGCATCTTCATATCAAGGTGAAAGTCCTATTAAATAAAACTGTAAAGTAGATAATCAGGTAGTTATAGTAACTGGACTTTGATGAAGGCCTTTAAGGCTTAATTATTTAGCCTTACTAAAATCACCAAATCTTTAATGAAAAACAGAACAGCAAGATGAGTCTAAAGAATAACTACCCTTGTTGATGCATTGTTTTCCTTTTTCTTGGCATTCCATCCCAGTACTGAGCATTCTGAACTTTGCCTAATTTGTCTCTGTTGGCAAGTCATTACAGCTAGTCTGATCCAAATTCACTGTGTGTAATACATCAGTGAGGGCCAGAGTGGAAGGCTCAAATAAATGGGGGGGGGGCTTAATTTTTACAAATAAAGCATAAAAATTCACATTACATTTTCTCTACTATCAGCATAATTTAAAAGCATCAAGTATCTGAATATGCTTTATGTTAAATTCCGTGTCATGTATTTGATTTTATTTTTAAAATGTTCTCGATTTTCAAAATACTTATTTTTACTCTTACAGGATTCTTTTTACTTTGAAAAATATTGCTAATCTTTCTAAACAAGAATGCTAATACCAGTAACTTTATTTATCATTTGTAGTTGATTAATGGAGAAAGAAATGCCATTCTAGACAGCTTAGGAATTAGAAATTTCTGTATATTTTCATAGTTTTCTCAGAAATCATTTTCACTGCCAAAGTCTCAAATAATTTAAGTATAAAACCTAGATATTCTTTTGTTGTAATTTGAAGTGTCAGTCATAATATTTTTCAATTACATGAACAAAACTAAAGCAAGTAGCTGCAGGTACTCTGCTGAATGTAGCATATGCATTGTTGTCTTTAATCTTCATAATATTCTGGTGAGGTGGTTATTATTAACTTTACAGAACAGGAAACAGCCTTTTACCCTCCTTACATCCTCACTGTTTGGATCAGTCACTTCATGAAAGTCACATAGCTCGATAAGGCAGAGACAGTGTGTACCCAGGCCCAACTGACTATAGAAATTACATTCCACATCACACCGCTTCTCAGGAAGCAGGTCGTAAGAAAAATGCTGATGGATTTCTGACTCATCTATTTTTAATTTTATTTATTTAATTTTATTTTATCATGTTTAAATTATTTTTTATCTGGATTACATTATAAAAGCATGATTACTGAAGACAAACAGTGCAGATATGTGCTGTACTTTGCACATCTATAGGAAAAAAACACTATGCTAATTTATCATTAATTATAACCATTTTCATATGAAGTACCTGTCAGATTTCCCTGGGTCTGTTTTGTTAGTCAGGTACCTGGGAGCTCTGATAATCCTGAAGTCTTTCTACCTTGCCTTTTGCACTGCAGGCTCTGCTAGTCTGTGTCAACATCCACCTTTATGGCATGGCTTTATCTACCAGAATACATTCCCTCCTGCTAAAAGCAGTATTGTGTCACAGACCTAGTCAGGAATTTCCCCAGGTCTTTTAGGACCCCTCTAACCACACATATTACTGGCATATGCTTTATTGGTCACCACTTTCTAAGCAATCTAAGCAATCTTTCTTATGCTCTGAGCCACAGAGATCACTTTGGAGATGTGGGTCCTTTGGGTTGCAAACTGCCAGTTCCACAGCCCTGAATTCTATTCCTATCCCCTTCTTGCCACACTCAGTTGGTCCGAGTTGCTGTGTCTGTGTCAGTTAATTTATGCCATATGATAGTAAATATCTGTCAAAACTTTTGAGGATATAAGGAGGATTTAAAAGGGGTGGGTTCCAATTAGGTAAAAACATTGTATTATGTTAAAAGTTTTAATGTATTTGGTATATCCTATGCAAAGTAAAACAGCTATTATCTTAAACATTCAGTGTTATAAAATGAACACTAAATAGCAGGATAATTTGATCCTATTGTATTTCTTTTGAGGCCAAATAACGTTAAACTTTGCCTAATTTACTTAGTGGGATCTGACCTGTAAAATGCTTTTCAAATTTTTTCTTTAGTGTTTTTGATGTAAGGGCTCTTTAGAGAAATATGTAATAACAATTATTTAGATAAGTTACAGTTATAAATAAAAACACTTATCTAGAACCTGTCTTTTTCTGAATCTAATTGTTCAGTTAATTGTTTCCTTCTTTCATGTAAGGAATCACCTAGAATGCTATTGTGTAGTAAGTAAAGTGGAGAAGGGGGACGATAAATGTATAACCTGTTGGGGTCTCATCTCCAAAATCCAGATTAGATCCTGTGCTGAAAGAGAGACTAAGAAAAAAGATGATATTCCAGAAGAAGACAAAGGAAATGTTAAGCAGTGTGAAATCAATTATGTGTATGTATTTTTTTTCTTTTTGAAACTATAGATTTGGCAGTGAGAAGTGCTTCTCAATGCAACTAAAATAAAATACCTGAAGGACAAAACGAGGCAGCATAATGTAGATTCTAGGACAGAGCACTAAGCAGAAGAAGCCTTCTCTTAAGGCTTCAGTTTTCCTAGTTATCCTGTTAGCTTTCAAAGCTCAAGTCCCCTGGGTTGGTCTGTTCTCCCTACTCAATGGAGTGGCTCTAATTATCAGTACATGATGCTAACCAAATGCTGTCCCACAGCTGGGATACAAGAGACTCCAGCCAACATTCCCGAATGTTGCGTCTGTAGGGCTTCCCAAACAACTGCCCTATTGATGGTGTGGT